TTCACTTGCATCCAAACGATTAGACATGGTTATTAAACGATTTCCGGAAGCCTTAAAGTAAGTACGTCAGTTTTTAAAGGATTTGTTTACACTTCTGATTCATCATTAATAAAAATGATATTTCCAGTTATTTTCAACTAAACTTTCATGCTCAATAATTTACTTCGTTTATAACTCTATTACTTTCTTATAACTCTAAAATTCTGGGATCGATCCCCATGAAGGGCACAGCACAGATAACCCATTGTACATATTTGTACTTAACAACAGAAAACTTGTACTTTCTTAAAGATTTGTCTCAGGTGGTGTAGTAGTCAGTTGAAGGACTTATAACACTAAAATCAGGGGTTCGATTCCCCTCGGTGGACACAGTAGACAGCCAGGTGTGGGTTTGCTATAACAAAAACACACACAATACACCCTCCTGGTCCAGCGGTAAGTTTGTAGACCTACAATGCCAAAAAAGCATGATTCGATTCACTGCAAATATTAAAGGAGATAGTGGCTAAAATCAGGTTTAGCTAAATTATATTCAGTTGGTCATGTTTGTTCTATGTAGGTGGCGTCTCTGAAGTCGAGAAGAAAGTTTTGTATTTAATATGTTACAGACAAAACAGAATTTTTCATATCACTCATCGTTACTAAAACCCAGAATATTAGGTCAGATATTTATTGATATTTTACACTAGAAAATTATATAATGAGAGTTTATTTTTCTAGACGAATAGTTTTATGATCGAAATGTCTTGATTGAATGATGAAGTATCGATATAGTAGTGATTGATTACTCACAGTTTATGTTGGAAAAGTTTATTATGAAGATACTGAGTTGACTGTGTCATATCACGTGTAAAGGAACTGTAGAAATAAGTCTTAGAAAAACAAACAAACAAAAATCATATCATATAGTGGCTCCACCTAGCATTTATTTTCACTATTACAAGTGGGTGTTTAAAGTTTTCATTTGCGTCAAGATAAGAAGGATAAAATGATTACAGATAGAGTTGCAAAACGTTAAGAGAATAAGTACAAGAAACATCAAGATATACAAAGTTCAAAACCACAGTTTTTAGTTAGGCTTTCTCGATTCTCAGGCTAACAGTTAAAGTCTTCAACTGTAAGAAAATTGAGAGGTTTTCCAAAGCATGTTAAAGGTGGTCCTTTAATACCACCAATTCCAACTTTATATAAGTAAGGGATTATCCAGGCGAGTCGACAGTCACAGGTAGGGTTAGTAGCTGTAAAAATAAATATACAAAAACTTCAGTACTATCACAATGTTAATTGTTATTGTCTAATTAAACAATATAAACTGTTTAATTACAACAACTAATAACACCAACAATCGTTATAAATATTTGATAACAGCTAATAACACCAAGAATCATTTTTATACCTATGATGGACGAGTTCATATCTGGAAAGTCAAAAGTGAATAATACAGACAGTGTGACATCGATGAAAGTTTTAGTGTGTGTGGGGGTATCAGTGTGAATGAAGGTACAGATTTTCTTTTGTTTCTGTTGGTCGGAAACACACTGGTCTTGTATTAGACCCAGATGTACAGACATTTAGTATTATAATGACACAAAACTTTTAACTGATGCACGGTTATACTTCTGGAATTACGACGGATTGTTTTAAAGATGGAAGTGAAGGGCTCATAAGCAAGAAATCATGTTTTAAATCTTATAGTCACTTGTTTAATAATAATTTATGTGTTCATGAGATAACACAGCACTGCACAACTACTTTGAATGAAGATTTTCTTGTGTTTCTGTTATGAAAACTGTAGAATAGAATTCCAGTGATGACTCTAGCGTCTCGTTTATTAGTTGTTATCAAATATTTATAACGATTCTTGGTGTTATTAATTGTTATCAAATATTTATAACGATTCTTGGTGTTATTAGTTGTCATCAAATATTTATAACGATTCTTGACATTTGGGGGTCCTGTGATGTTTTATTTTAGTATACTATATCGCCATCTAACGGCTGTTATTTAATTTAAAATTCCATAATTTGAAACGTTAAATGTAATCCAGTTTAATAATCACAGTAGAGTAGAAGTCTTGGTTTTGTTAACAAAGATAATGTTCTCTACATAACTAACTCCACTGGATATGACAGTTTAGTTGACGGTACAGAACTGTGTGTTTACTTAAAGAAGTGTGAAATTTGGAAAAGCATCTGATTAAAACACGGTTCGTGTTAACTTTCAATAGCTCAAGACATCTGAGTTATCTTATTTTTTATAGTGCTAACATAACTTTTATTGTCATTTGGTTGTCGGGTTTATAGTTTAACATATAGTAACAAATAAACACTTACTGGATACGGAGAACTCTGACCCCTGTTCTGTGGTCAGTGGGCATAAGGTGTTCAAGTGACCACACATCATTGCATAACTACTTTGGACATACGTGGAAATCTCCACAACTGGTAAAAACATCACTAAGACAAGACACGATTTTTGAGTCAGGGCGCTTCCTTAACAACATACAACTATAGAATTGTTAGTGAAATGTGCCTTTAGCTATTCAGTTTGTCAATAAGTTTTATAAACCTAAAATGTTCTTAAATAAACAGATGTTACGGTCAAAGTGTACTCTGTACAACTTACCAGTGATGTCAAGCCAGTTGATTCTCTCCAGAAGTGGTTTGAAGAGTGTTTCAGAAAGAACAGTCATTGTTGGATTGAAAGCTAAAGACACGGTTTTGAGATGATGCATTTCTGTAAACAAATCTTCTGGTAGATAAGTTATTCTGTTGTAGCTGAAAATAACAAAACAAAATAAAAAGTTAAAAGAATATTTAATAATTCATATAATAGAAGGTTAGATGTGACCTTCTTGTATATCAGGTAGTAATAAATGGTCAGTGTGTTGTATATCAGGTAGTAATCAATGGTCAGTGTGTTGTATATCAGGTAGTAATCAATGGTCAGTGTGTTGTATATCAGGTAGTAATAAATGGTCAGTGTGTTGTATATCAGGTAGTAACCAATGGTCAGTGTGTTGTATATCAGGTAGTAATAAATGGTCAGTGTGTTGTATATCAGGTAGTAACCAATGGTCAGTGTGTTATTGCTTTTCGAGGAAACGCTCTCGTCACCATCAACCGTTCAAACCTCCCAAATCCAGCAACTGAACTGCAGTTTTTAGATTTATCGTAAGTTATTTTTTGAGTTATCTCTACTGTGATGGATAAAATTGTTGTATTAGAAATTACTGTTTTCTCACTCTAAAGTTTTACATAATCTTTGTAATAAACCCCGAAACTGGAGAAGTGGGTGCATTATGAAGTTTATTTGTTCAGAATAAAGGTGAGGGGGTGCAACTAGTGGGATCCGAATTTTAAATTGATGAACTAGAAGTAAATCAGCTAGACAAGAACATCCACCGCCAAACCTTGGGCTACTCTAAGTGAATAGTGAGATTTGACCATAATTTGTTTAACCCACCCACTGCTCTAAACTGGAGCGGGATGCAAACCACAAACCTGTAGGTGCAGAGCTCAGCATGTAAGCCCCTGGCCCACATTTAAGTTTCGTGTTTATAATCATATATAACTCATGCTCTACTGATCAGAAGTTTGTGTGACATTGTTATTACTTTATGTATTTGTTGATATTTCAAAAGAACAGTTTAAACGCCGAACGCTAGCGAAGCATTAAAAACCAGTAGGCCTAAAATATACAATAAAAATCACGTTGATGGGAGATGGACATAAAAACATTAGCAGTTCAAGTGTTTGTTTGTTTGTTTTTAATTATACACAAAGCTACACAAGGGCTATCTGTGCTCTGCCCACCACGGGTATCGAAACCCGGTTTCTAGCGTTGTAAGTCCGCAGACATGCCGCTGTGCCACTGGGAGGCCAGTTCAAGTGAATGTTAATATATTGCTACGAATCAGCACATAAACTGGAGTAATATCAACGTTTGTATGTATTTTATACATGGCCCCAGCTGCCATGGCGTGTTTGTGAAAATAGGACCTACAGCTACGAATCAGCACATAAACTGGAGTAATATCAACGTTTGTATGTATTTTATACATGGCCCCAGCTGCCATGGCGTGTTTGTGAAAATAGGACCTACAGGGCTCAGACCCTAAGATATCGCTGTTGGTCCCCACGTTATTGGTGGCCACAATTTTTAGATTAGTTGTTTTATGTTTGACATGGGAAGTAAACATATAAACGAGTACTGCATATTGATTAATGTTGAATACCTTGGAAAGTTCGACACTTATACTATGTTAGTTAGAGTCAACTGAACACTATTTCCAATGAAGTAAACATCATAAAAATGGTCCAAACTACAACAGATATTTTATTTTTGACCTATTATAGCAGTTAAAAGTTTGTTAACTATTTCTTAACTACGCAACAAAGACGAACTTAGAAAAATGATGGAATTGGTTAGAGTTGGGTTCGGTTGATATTAAGCTACACATTGGGCTATCTGCAAACCACGGGTATCCAAGCCCAAATTTTAGTGTTACATCTACTCACTTCCGCATGAACCACTGTTATCTACGTATGGTGGGCAGAGCACAGATAGCCCATTGTGTAAATTTGTGCTTAACAAGAACCAGTGACGAACTGCCCACTTGTTGTTATTCACACACTGACTATTGGTTACTACCTGATATACATATTTAAGCATTGAGTATGTACCCTTTGGAACATCCGCTAAAATCAAAGGGTTATCTGTGGTACTAAGTGAAGTACCCGACATGTCGAGAGACTCCATATTGGATTTCGCAAAGACTCGATAAAACTCTTCGTCTAACTCTTTCAACAGAGTTGTGTTTGAATGAATATCTGTGGTTACCTGCGATCCAAATTTGATAGCTGAAAAAGGAGCCCATGTCCAACGTGTGCCTGGTGTGACACGGAGCATATTCAAGGAGAATCTGTCCGTGACTCCTAGACCTTGGAACGGTGAGCTATTAAGCTCTTGGCCACCTAGAGATTGGATATTTAAGCTGCTTAAGCTCAGTCTAAAGCTCCGGATCTCACCAAATCTCCCAAAGAATCCATTCTCCAGAAAATCGATGTCTCCCCCGTAAATACTGAATTCCACGTTTGGACAAGGTAGAAAGAAATCATGAAGACCTTTTAGTGGTTCGTCTCCTTTACACGAATAAAAACAGGTATCTGTGTTAGCAGAGCAAGTACAAGGAGAGATGTTTTCAGGAGAAGGACACAGAGATCCTTCTGACCTCTTCAGGATCAATGCCAAGATGATCAGTAGAACTGAAGATATTCTGGTGTCTGTTAGCATCCTGTGAGTAGAATTGAAATATTGTTTCTTGACACTTGTGTGTAATGTTCAAATAACAAATAAACACATAACGTTAAAATTGTTACAGTTTTAATTAAGACCAACTGATGGCCTCCAACAGTTGGCTCTACATCTATCGCCGTTCCTGATGATGACGTAGAAACTTGTACGGTCAATTTTTTGAAGGTCATGTTTAGGAAATAACTAATTATTACATTCAATAAAGTACAAACTTTATGCCTTATACGTACTTAACAATTATTTATAGATTACAGAAAAACGAAAATTATCAAGTTCTATTTGTTTTAGAGCAAAACTTCATTGGGCTATCTGCTGCGTTCACCGCGGGAAGTCGAACCCCGGATCTTAGCGTTGTAAGTCCGTAAATATCCAGGTTTGACATAAATTACAGTATTACACTCAAATATTAATAATGTGCTTTCGATTTGGAAGTAGGTTAAATACTATTCTCACTGTTAACTATGAAAAAAGATGATTAAACAACACTATCAATTCTCTTTACAATCTTAAACACCTCAATCAGATCCCCTTAAATCTTCTTTTTTTTTGCAAGAGAAAACAATTTGAGAGATTTCAGCTTCTCCAATTTGCCATTTATTTGCTCAACTCACTAAATGTAAATCAGCAGCATCCTCTTCACAGCTAGCATCACCCAAGACCTTAATATCATCTGCAAATTTAAGTAATTTATTGACCATTCCTTCATCTATGTCATTGATGTAAGTCAAAAAGAGCAAAGGTCATATGACTGAGCCCTGAGGTACTCCACTTGTGACATTAATCCAGTTTGACTGCTCTCCATTTGTAACAACCCTCTGCTTTCTTCCATCCAGCCACTCTTCTATCCAATTTGTTAACTTATCTTTGTGTATCTTTATGCTTAACAAACAAACAAAACCAAATCTTGACTAAAATGTGTAACTTCAGTAAATAAACGAAATAATTTATTAATAATTAATTGTGACAGGTTAATCACATATCTAAAATATTTTGTTGGTGATAAGTAAAGAACTTAACAATAATCCTGCAAATTGTTCGTGTTCCATCACTATAACAGGCCTAATGTACTTTAATACTGTACTGTAATATTGATGAGCTGTGAATCCGGCGAAACTTGTCTACTTCAGAAGGAGTATCAAAACAAAGAATAGATTAATACAATATCTTCACGGTTTTATTATCAATAATGAATTGATATATATCCACATTTCAGTACTGTATCAAAACAAGTCTAAACTTGATATTATAAATTTTAATATATCGGAAAGCCAACAAATAGTTTTGTTTTGTCTTTTTAAACTTTTTTATACAATTCTTAACTTGTACTTGCATGTTTTAATAAGCAGACGGTTATTTGATGTTAAATCCAACAAATATCCATATAAGTTTTTATTTTGTTCTTTTTCTTCTTCTTTTTTCTCTTTATTTCTACGCATAAAGGTACACAGTAGGCTATCCTTGGCTCTGCACATCACGGGTACTAAAACCCAATTTTCAGCGATGTAAGCCCTCTTACTTACTTACCAACGAGGGGTGCAAAGGGTGTGAAAAACAAAAACTGACACGTCAAGATTATCCAGTGTTCATACGATTTATTTTTAAATGTCTTGAGGTTAACAAAGTAATCCTAACAATAATACTATTTAATGAGGAATCAAAATAATTTTAATAACTCAAGCATGCTGGACTGTAAATAAGTCCGTCATTCACTCCCGTCTAAGGGAAAAATAAATTCGCTCTTCGCATTTTGTGGCCTGGGTGCGTTATGATAGTGACAGTCAAATTCCCCTAACCGATTAGAGAACTGCGAGAGTTAGCGGCATCTATAGTTGACTAGATGCCTTTCCTCTAATTCGTCTGTCACTTCAAAATTAGCGACGACTAGCCCAGTTAGCCCTCGAGTAGCACTGCACGAAAATCAACAAACAACAACCTAACAAGATTGATTTAAATGAGGAGAATTTATAACAAAGTAAGCCTAACAATATTAATTTTAAAGAGCGAAATCCATAACAATGTAATCCCAACAAAAACAATTCTAATGAGGAAATTTTTATAACAACGTAAGCCTAACAATACTCATTTTAAAGAGCGAAATCCATAACAATGTAATCCCAACAAAAACAATTCTAATGAAGAAGTTTTTATAACAAAGTAAGCCTAACAATACTCATTTTAAAGAGCGAAATCCATAACAATGTAATCCTAACAAAAGCATTTCTAATGAGGAAATTTTTATAACAAAGTAAGCCTAACAATACTCATTTTAAAGAGCGAAATCCATAACAATGTAATCCCAACAAAAACAATTCTAATGAAGAAGTTTTTATAACAAAGTAAGCCTAACAATACTCATTTTAAACAGCGAAATCCATAACAATGTAATCCTAACAAAAGCAATTCTAATGAGGAAATTTTTATAACAAAGTAAGCCTAACAATACTCATTTTAAACAGCGAAATCCATAACAATGTAATCCCAACAAAAACAATTCTAATGAGGAAATTTTTATAACAAAGTAAGCCTAACAATACTCATTTTAAAGAGCGAAATCCATAACAATGTAATCCTAACAAAAACAATTCTAATGAGGAAATTTTTATAACAAAGTAAGCCTAACAATACTCATTTTAAAGAGCGAAATCCATAACAATGTAATCCCAACAAAAACAATTCTAATGAAGAAGTTTTTATAACAAAGTAAGCCTAACAATACTCATTTTAAACAGCGAAATCCATAACAATGTAATCCTAACAAATACAGTTCTAATGAAGAAGTTTTTATAACAAAGTAAGCCTAAAAATACTCATTTTAAATGGAGAAATGCATAACAATGTAATCCCAACAAATACAGTTCTAATGAAGAAGTTTTTATGCCTAACTATCTTAAATGTATAATAATGGTTGGAGACGGCTTGAATGGTTAATGAAGAAAAACTTTAATATAAGTTTAACATAAGAGGAAATGTACAACGTTTCGACAAGGTTTTCTCATCATCAGGTTGAAACGTTGTACATTATGTTAAACTTATATTAAAGGTTTTTTCATTAACCATTCAAGCCGCCTCCAAGAATTATTAGTATCAAAGTGGGTTCCTCGTCATCGAATCTAAATCTAAGATGAACACTTACCTTAGCTTTTACTCAACAAAGTTACACTTTCAAATGTAAAGTTCTCAGCTATTTGTAAACTCGTAAGGTTATATACACACTACTAATAAACGCACCTGTTGTTTTACACACACAATTAGATTATAGATGTACACACATTTTCAATGATTAACTGCTTTTCTTTAAACAAAAGATACCGATAAGCAAAGAATTGCATCTTAGCGCCATCTATATTTAAAGTGATAATATGTTTAATATCTTCACCTATTGCTACGTAGATGTGTTTAGCCTCAAGTATGTTTAAAAGTTCAACTTCCAAGTACGATTTGTCTTATTCCACATTTGATTTTGTATCTGGTCTTAAAAATTTCGTTTTTAGGTCAAACACGTGTAGGAAATAATTAATATTGACAAAACATGTTTTTCGAGGCATTTTCACTTCAAATTGTCTTCCCCTGTTCTAGTTGTATTCTGTATTGATATCTTAGCTAATAAGGCTATCTGCCGCTTGTTAGAGGGAATGTTGCCAGTCAACAGCAACCTACCACCTACCATCAACATTAAGAGATTGACTGTTACTCTTGTAATGCTCCCACAGCTTTAAGTTCGCCAGCCTCAAATTTCAGAGTTATACTACAGCCTCATCCCCCTAACTTTTCGGATTAGTCCCAATTTTCTTGTCCAAATATGTTATATATTTTATGTATTTTTTTACCTCCATACAAATTCGGGTCTATATACATAAGGGGCCAGGAGTTGCTAATTTCTCGGTGTTTAGTAAAATGAATCTTTCGCTCGGATATATAACAAAAAATGACGTATTACCTAAATGTGTTACATAAATTTGTAATGGTCCCTTATCTACTGAAGATGAAACGGAAAAACGAGTCACGGTAAGGATCTGGTAGGGACTTCAGAATTTCATAAGACTTGCAATAGTCTAGGTATGTAATAAACCAGGTATTTAACTGTGTCAGGAGCACGTGTGGTCCAGAATTCTTACAACTTAGATTATACTAAAAAAATATATGCTTGGAAATGTATAGTTCTCAGCTATTTATAAATCTTCAAGATAATACACTGACACCATTATTAGAAACATCTGTTGTTTTCCCAACTTTCAGATTATAGGCTTAGCACATGTACGAAATTGTTCGGTGTAGAATCTCTATAACGATAAGCAATGAATTGCATCTGAGCGCCATCTATAGTTAAAGTGATAATATGTTTATGTACCGTATTTTTCTGTGTATAAGATGCACTTTTTTGCTCTAAAATTTTAAGTAAAAATCAGCTTTCGTCCTATACACCGAAGGTATGAATAATATATATGTATATATATAAGATATACACACAAGCCATGTGTAAATATATTTAAATAGGCATGCATAGTTTAGTTGAATTGAATGTGTTATTTATAACAATAGTAGTTTTTTCTTTTAAAAACATAACTATTTATAATGCAACCTAGATAATAAAAAAGCAATGAAGATTTTGTAGGTTTTGAACCAAACTAAATAACAGTAAACCTGATTTACGGTATTTTCTTATTTTGATGTTTTGAGCTTTTTTGTGTTCAGAACAATATATGCTAATTTTTAAAGTATCAAATTGAATTTTTGTTCAATAAAAAATCTTTCAAACGCGACTGTAGCTTTTTTCCCCCCAAAACTTTGTCTTCAAAATAAGGGCGCGTCTTATATTCCGAAAAATACGGTAATTTATAAGTATGTTTTGAAAGGCTCGAGAGTACTTGACTGTTTTGGTTTCGTTTTTTGGATAGCGATAATAGTTTCTGTTCCTGACCCATATTCATGTTTTATACAGACAATTAGATATATATATATCACTACAGAGTGTTGAGTTATTTAACAATATAATACAGTTTAATATTCTATAAAATATGTTAAGTATATAATTACAATCCCAGTAAGTTTTGGCTTGTCTATAGAAGATTATCAGTAGCAAATCATGTGTGTTGTGCAGTGTGTTGTGCGGCCAAAACAACCTGCAGGATATAGTGATAGTTTAGTGATTTTCCACCTTCTGTAGCTCGGACTGTGGTATTTCAAGCTATCACATATTTTTTGTGGAGATGTTTTACTGGACCCTTACGTCACCTACCAAATTTCAAAGCAATTCGTCAAGAAATATACGACATATAAAACATCTTAATTTAATTTAATTAATTACTGGACCCTTACGTCACCTACCAAATTTCAAAGCAATTCGTTAAGAAATATACGAGACATAAAACATCTTAATTTAATTTAATTAATTACTGGACCCTTACGTCACCTACCAAATTTCAAAGCAATTCGTCAAGAAATATACGACATATAAAACATCTTAATTAAATTTAATTTCTTCCTCTTATTTCTATTCGTACCGAAACTTTATTTGACGGAAAAACATACTTAACTTTTATGGATTTCTTTCAAATTTAATGAATATTTGCTAACTTCTTATCAATGGTGTAGCTACAAGTTTGGCCGCCAATTTTGATTTCTTTCCTTTAACTCGCATGCCCGGTAAAAACACCTTAGGTGTGAACAGTTTGATTTTATATGCACGAGAGCTAAACGGTCTGATAAAACGTCTTTAGATTAAAGGTATATCCTTCATAATTTTCACCTAATGACCTGAGGATCGTCAACCAGCACCAACATCCACAATGGCTTCATTGGGTTCTTAGAACATGGATCCGAATAACGAAATTCACCGTCACTTTTCGCGCCACCTACATAGATCGGAAATAAAGAATAAGCCTAGTAATTAATACATCTGATCTTGTAATGAGTCAACAGTTGGGCTCCTCATTGTTAGCAGTGTTTTCGATCTTAATCTCAAAGTATTCCCAAAACGTATTGTTTAGCTGAAAATAACATTCCAACTGTAATTTGATATGTTTCTTAATTTGATGATAAAAGAAAAAAATCTGTCGAAAGTTTTCTAACATCGACATCAAATGACGTTCGAAAATATATATTTGATGTTTTTTAAATAAATTAATATGGTTTCTTTACATTCGATTTTAGGGCAGAGCAACTGTTAATCTAACAATATATAAATAAGAATATTTTTGAAAGAACAATACTTTAGGAGAGAACAGATTACTCTAAGCAAAGGTCATATACAATCATTTTGAACTCTAGAAAAATGGACGAAAGAATAAATTTGTTCTACTGACATTGAAATTTCCTAGAACTATGATTTAATCAACCTTTAATAATGTTCCACACTAAAGTTCAAACTTGTTAAAACTACATTCTACTTAGCAAAGGGACGTAACAATGAATAATTCGCCTTTAACAATTTTCTCTACAGAAACTCAAACTTGTTAAAATTGTGATTTAACCCCAGAATATTCCATAAGTATGTACATACTTAATTATAAACTTACTGCAGGATTTAAGGTTGTATGTACATACTTAATTATAAACGTACTGCCGGATTTAAGGTTGTATGTACATACTTAATTATAAACTTACTGTCGGATTTAAGGTGGTATGTACAAACTTAATTATAAACTTACTGCAGGATTTAAGGTTGTATGTACATACTTAATTATAAACGTACTGCCGGATTTAAGGTTGTATGTACATACTTAATTATAAACTTAATGCCTGATTTAAGGTTCTATGTACATACTTAATTATAAACGTACTGCCGGATTTAAGGTGGTATGTACAAACTTAATTATAAACTTACTGCCGGATTTAAGGTTGTATGTACATACTTAATTATAAACTTACTGCCGGATTTAAGGTGGTATGTACATACTTAATTATAAACTTAATGCCGGATTTAAGGTGGTATGTACATACTTAATTACAAACTTAATGCCGGATTTAAGGTGGTATGTACATACTTAATTATAAACTTACTGCCGGATTTAAGGTGGTATGTACATACTTAATTATAAACTTACTGCCGGATTTAAGGTGGTATGTACATACCTAATTATAAACCACTTAATGGTATGATCATTTAACGTCCAATCAGCTTTTAAAACACTGAACATTCATTACCTTGATGTATCACTGTAACAACTTGCCCCTGTAACAACTAGCCCCGGTCTCCCCTACATGTTAGTGGTGTTTAAAGCACTCAACCCCATTTTCATACTATTTACCAGCTAACTGAGACTAGAACATACGAAACCAAGATTTAAGATAAAAAGGAACAAACCTAAGGTTAAAAAAAAAGGACAAACCAAGATCATGGTTCTACGCGTAAAGTGAATCACGTTAAGAGGAAGTTAAGTTGTAGAAACTTGTTCCAACAGCAGCATGATCTCACACAGACAAACAAAGCAAATCGTGATGAAAGTGAAAGTGAATGTCAAACACTCAGTTTCAAGACCTCTAGTAAGTGCAATACTAAGAATATTATGCAATAACCAACCAGAAAAGTCTGGAATTCTCGGAAACGTACTACAGAAACAATAAGAAAGCATAGGTAAAATTTTATTATTTTTTTAACCATGAATAATTGTCACTAAAAAGAAATAAGGGAAAATATTACTGAAAGCATTATGTATTAACTACATGCTAGTTGTCTCATGTGGAAATCAGTCTGCAAAAAATGAAATACAGAAGAAGAACTTGTGCAATAGCTAGATGGTTTCCAAGCAGAATTCTTTATTAGAAATTCTATAGAGTGTTGCGTAAGATCCAGACGTCAGGTGTCTCTGTCGATAACCTTAAACAGTGTTTCTATAAAAGACAACCTTCAGGAAATGAACGAAGAAAACAAAATACTTGTTACTAAATAGTAAGATCCAGACATCAGGTGTAATATCGACACCAGGTGTCTCTGACGATAACCTTAAACAGTGTTTCTATAAAAGACAACCTTCAGGAAATGAACGAAGAAAACAAAATACTTGTTACTAAATAGTAAAGATCCTAATAGGCGGAAATCCTATCGACTTTTGAGTTCTAAGGTCCTAATAGCCGGAAATCCTATCGACTTTTGAGCCTTGAGTTCCTAATAGCCGGAAATCCTATCGACTTTTGAGTTCTAAGGTCCTAATAGCCGGATATCCTATCGACTTTTGAGTCTTGAGTTCCTAATAGCCGGAAATCCTATCGACTTTTGAGTTCTAAGATTCTAATAGCCGGAAATCCTA